TGTTCTGTATGTCTTAATTTGTAGTGATTGGCTCTGCCAAAATATTTTCATACTGCACCATTTCTTCACTTCACTAAAGAAGAAACTCTCAGGGTATATTACCGTCCCTTTATTTATGTAGATTTATGTACCGACAGACTTAGCCGTCCCTCGTCTCAAAATGAAACCCGAGAACCCACTGTAGTGGTCACATAAAGGCTTCCTAGGTTTTCTAAATTAACTAGTTCATTTCGCCCATTTGGTAGACTTCAGTCATATGTCCAGCACTTTATGGGCCCTGCCTAGTGATTACATGCTTCACTGGTATATGATTGTTGGGCTTGAAATGAACCTACAAGAGAATTTTTGATAACACAACTTATTTACCATTACAATGTTGCTGGTTGAAACTCCCACTTCACAGATTTCCTTGACGAACTTTCCTAGGAGCATATCGGTGTGACAACCGATGCCTAATACCTTTGTAATATGTCAATTGATCGGTATCATAATTCTTTCTGTCTCAGAGCCCGTTGAGACTTTAATTGGGTATGCGTACTACCCCGAGTTAGTTGGATCTATCGATGCCGCAGATGGCGGCTTGTTTGTGATGAAATATACGAAGTAAGGGTTACATTTGAACTTGGCATCAGCAAGTTCATTCACTCACCTCTGAGAAATTATAGGACTATTGCTGCTCCCACGGATTAACCGAAAGATTCATAGAATACTTAGATGTAAGCTTAGGCGGTGAAACACCTTGTCACGCTTGGGACTTCACAGACCTAAAACTTTCATGCTCCAATGAGAAAGACGGCTATCACAAGTATTAGTCGATCGCAGGTGAAATTCAAAGTGCATCTGGCCCACAATCAGTTAGCTCAACACAAGGGTACTCGTACACGAATCTCTGAAATAAAACATTCAACGGAGCCAAAGATCAGACTACAATTATCAATCAAAGGAGATCATTATTCGAAGTCTCCAAACAGGAATTTCCACCCACTTTAGCACTAAGTATTGAACTCTCTAGAGAAGAACGGGACATATTGCATCAACATCCAAAAGGAAATCATACTCCAATCCGTAAGTAAACTAGAAGCATGAAAATCAGTTGGGCCTGGTTACCCATTATTAAGGCTTGTTAAAGAGCTGTCAGATCACATAGCCAGCCGGTCTAATGCTATCTCTTTTAAGTCGAGTTTTGATGCATGACTGAAAAACTCTGTATTAATTACACACCCACAAGGGGGAGTGCAGACACTGTCGTTCAAACTACAGGCCTTTAAGTATTTCCAGCATCTTAATCGAAGTGCTGAAAATAATCCAGAAATCTGTTGTTGCATATCTGGAAAAATTCCATGCCCGAAAAACTTTCTAACATCAGTTAAGAGCTGGGTGAGGGGAGTTGAGCAATAAGGAGACTACCACTGTCGTTCCCGAAGACCTCAGTAAAACTTTGTTTAAAGTACCTCACACAAGACTGCTCGTGAAATTAGAAAGTCTTGGAATCAAGGGCGGCTGACTAAACTCGACTAAATAATTCCCCGTACTAAGGAGATAGGGACGAATTTGATCCCAAACTCTGCTTCCGGGAAGCGGTGCGTCGGATTTATATTTCATAACTTTCAAACACAAGAATCTAAAATGTTACTTTATAAAACACACATACGGCCTCTCCTTGAGTACTGTCCATTTATCCTAGACAGCACCTCTGTTAAGGACAAACTAAAGATTGAAAGTGTTCAAAGGAGATTTACAAGTAGAATCCTAGGAACAAGTCTGAAAGTCCCCTACAACTATCGTTGCACAACACTTAAGATCGAACCCCTTTGGTACAGGCGCCACCGACTTAACCTCATTCTCCTTTTTAAAATAATCAAAGGAATAGTATACTTTCCCAATAATAACCTTAACTTTACTTCTTCGACGTATGAACTACGCAGCAACGGGTCTTCTCTTAGTCATATTCTTTGTCGCACGAAATTACGTTCCAACTTCTTTACAGTCAAATATAGGCAAACATGGAACTTCTTGCCAAGTGAAATTAAAAATAGCACCACATTACAACGATTCACCTATCTAGTAAATAAATATTTCTCTGAAAACAGTCTTGAAACAGTTTGCCACATACTGAAAATTCGTGATATTGTTTCTTTCCCCTTTGAATTACGTACCTAAACAGCTTTGTTCCCTGAAAGCATTAACAGAAACGGTCAGTATTATCGGACACATTTAAAATAATCAACGTTGCACTAATGCTGTTCTCAGTTCTTTCTTTTTTAGTTGATTCAATTGTTTGTCTAGCAAGCACCATCACAAAATATTCACAATCCTTTCATACAAACCTGGAGTGGAATACTCAGCCTGATATACCATGAAAGCTGCACTGAATCTACATGAACTACCCTCACACCTTATGTCATACCTTTTCAGTGATTCAACTCCATTTAATCCCAGCTGCTGACTGTCAAATTAATCAAATATTATGGTGAATGTCCCTGGCAAAACTGTATTTTGGGCAGTTCAGTGTTGTGGAAGTTCTACCTCAAGGTTGTGTTGTAAACAACCTGGATATAGCTGGGACTAAAATCTCCTCTGGTGACTAGCTAATGTTGTGAGTAAATACCACCTACGTCTACGCAAATTCCAGCCCTATGCCGGATTGCCTAAAAAATCAGCTTAACTTCACTGTGAGTTTTAAATATTAGCGGATTTTTATTTTACGGTTCTGTTATTATAATCCTTCATTCTTCTGAACCATCTATTATAATTAACTACTGCCTCTTTTTATGCATATATAATCATAACTGTGTACCTTTATGTATTTTTCTCTTCTCATACCATTTCATATTGCCCCTTCGTTTCATATGTTTATAACTAAAATCTAGAAGGTAGACTGCAAATCTCTGATTTCCTTACTTTTTTATTGTATATATATGTTTTTAAAATGCTGTTAGGGACGATGCATACAAAGTGGCTGACTGAAAGTAGTCGTCCATACCATGAGTTTCGTTGAGTAAGCTGGTGAAGGCGAAAACTGTCTATATGACACTTAGCAATAAAAAATTCTTCTAAAAACAAGAGGAGCATTTCGCCAGGGCCTAGCAGATTAAAAGGTGGGAGGGTGGTGACCGCTATTCAGCGGATATGATGGTGGGGACTTAAGAGAACCACCCTTATCTGTGGGAATGCGCTCTATTGCTAAGGTTCCTGAGTGTGAATGACTTCAAAAAAAAAATAAAATAAAATAATAGCTGCCTGTATAACAAAGCTTGTGTATAAACTCTTTGAAAACAACCTCATGGTACGATTTCTCTACTTCAGGAGGACAACTAACTGTATAAATCAGAACATCAGCATAAATAAGTATCATCACTCTTTTTGTTTTTCTTCACTTCTATATATTTTATGTAATTTGGCGTTTGGATTTAGCTTCTCCACTTTCTATTCCCATTATCCTATATAGATCTAAAAATCATTATTCGTTTTGCCCTTGTTTTCTAAAAAATCTGTTATTCTATATTTGTTGTTGTTTACTACCACAAACTTGAACTAACTGTTAGTATGTAACACTATGAAACTCAATGACTCTAAATTATTAGTAACAAAGTAGGGGAATAAACCCTGCGTTTATCGCATATTGTTTGCTTAAATTATTATTATTTGCTGGCTGCCTCTGCACCTCTCTTTCTGTTTTCTTCTTCCTTCTCGAAGGTATTGCATTGATGCACTGCAAATGAACAGTAATGCTGCTTTCTACGTTTTTATTACTTGAGCGTTATTCAGAATGTTGTTGGCAGACACAACGAACAACGGAAGAAATTCCATTCTGAGTACTGTTTGTCATCGCAAAATTGGTCCCTTGAATCTGTTATTGCCAAAATAATGCTGTACTTACCCTCTACTGTGGAGTTGTTTTTTTTAAATATTTGAACCCTTATTAATTGACAAAATGACAATGATCACAAGGCCTGTATCCTGTATGTCGTACTCTAGCACATGTTAATCACCCCTCTTCTTACCTTCCATTAACGCAACATTTCGTAATTCCCGCATGAATTTAACTGACTATAAGTATATTATAGACTATAAATTAGACTTGAACCAGTATATTGTAATCTATTCTAACAAAGTTTCTAGAGGTTTTTTTTCCATTTTTCCAATTTTTGATGTCAAAAAACGGTGTTCCATTTCAAATTGTACTTGTTGAATATGATCATGCCTGTACAAACGGTATGTTAATCATGTAAATGTTTAATTTATGTGAAATATATATATATGCTGTGAGCTTGTATGACATAGAGGGAACGATGGTCCCATAAGTCCAGACTGGTATAGGCTTAGGAGGTATATTAACTCACCGCCTAAATACTATGACGAATCGCTGCACAATGGTGGCTCAAAATTTGAGATCAACGTGGGCCGAACGTGTTTTAGAATCACCAGTAATATTTCCACCTCTTTATGAAAATCTTTGGTGTGGTCAAAACTGGATAACTGTATCGTGGCAGCTAGTGCTCGCCTTAAAGGCTATTAATACCCTCTAGAAACGGTCCAGAAGAAGGCAACGTGCATAATTCCTGACATGGCCGATTTACCATAAGAGAAAATACTTAAGTAATTGGAATGGCAAGGGGAAGAGATTCAATGGTGATGGGCCTAGTGTATCTATTCTTTTTCTTTGCTGCCGGCTGGTTTATCTCAGGGGATACAAAATGAAAGTTCAGAAGCCGAGGGGAAAACATATTTTTGCGGAGTTCTGGTTATCCCACTGAGTCATGAATTCTTGAAATCGACTCCTAGAAGATATGATGTCATTGCCCTCAGCTGACTTGTCTGAGAAGGGACTATAAAGGCAAAGAGACTCATAAGAAAAGGATTTACACTGTTTCAAAGCCTTCTGTTCCCAAATAAATTATCTGAACATGAAGTTTGTGAAAGATGATTTGTTTAGCAGCACCAACAGAATTGCACTTAATTCAGTAATATTTTGTAATTGGCGGTAAACTGTCAGTCAAATGGCTCGGTATTTCTTCATTAGTTTCGCCGTTGTGCTATGTAAGCTTTCAGTGTTAACGTATTGATAACTATTTTAATTATTGTTTATTAACTGATATTCTTCCAGGAATCATATTAATACGTACAGTGTGAATCTATATTAATGCATTTGTTGTAATTGTACAAAAGATGCCTAACTTCACTCCAGAAAAATTGATAAAATAGTGTCATTTTGATATTTTTGCATCGTAAAGTCCTTTAATTAAAACTAGATACTTATGTGGGGATGGACTAATGAGTTTATAAGGGAACTATTGTTAGCTTTTCATTCTTTGCCATAACACTCTGAATTCAGTGCGTAAGACTTTTCCTTTATCACTGCTAAGATCCTTTCTTATGAGTGGCTTTATTTTAAATTTTTGGACTCAATGTTTTTGGCTCCTTATTTGTTGAACAATTTTTCCTATGAAGTACTTCATAGAATAACACGTTTTATGGAGAAACGATATCTTGTGGGATACAGCTTTCGTCTGTACCACGGGAAATTTTATACTTTATAAAAGGGGTAAATCGACTTCAATGCTGCTTTGCTTCGTCTATCTGCTGAACTCTCAAGCTGTTGTATAAAATTGCATAAAAAGAAAATGATTTGTGCTCCTTGCCATGTAGGTGTCAGTATCCTGAAAAATACCTCAACATTTTTGTGTCAGTGATGGATAAATGAGTTAACTATGAGAATACGCCCTTCTTTAATTGAAGAATACCCTTAATTTAACTACCTTTCAAAATTACCCAGAGTTTTGATGGTACAAATTTTGTCAAAGCAATTCCTCATCCAAAGACAAAAATCTGAGGTTCTTGGTAATTTTAGTGATAGTTACTGTGTCTTTATTAACTGAGATGACGGTAGCAGTCTAAATGATTAATATTGCTAGCTATAATTTATTATTTACATCACTTGCAATTCCGAGAAATCTATTTATTACAGCTAATAGGTTGTTTATGGAAACTTTATGCCCTAACTAGCTTGCGATGAATCCTGCCTAGCCTTCATTTATATTAGCAGTAATAGTTAGGGTGTAGTTAAGCCTTTTGTCCCACTGAAAATCTAAGGGAATAATAATAGTGAATGCATGTTCAACGAATAACGATTAAAATTGGTTGTGTAAAGTAGACAATATTGAATTACTGCTGTAACTTTTGTTAATAGAGAGTATTCTGAATAGATGACTCCGCCATTGGAAGTCAGGTGCCGAAAAGTGAGAGTCATGCAGTCGTGATAATTGTCATATTGTAGTTTTTGGTATGAGCAGTGGATGGAAGTGTGGAATAGCCTATTTTGTTCACTCTTTGTCAGTTGAAAATCATTAACTAACATGTGATTAACAAGTTACATATCCTTAAGCGATTAAAAAACAGATGTACATTGGAATTAGCACCACTCTGTGGAGATCTGTAATCGCAAATCCTCACTATACAATGAAATAGGTTTCTTTCTAAATCAGCTTTGCACTATTTTTTCTTCCTAAATTCCAGAACTTGATTTATTTGACGTAAGGAAAGTCTACTGTTGTTCAGTTCTTCACCTTAATCTTTAGTGTCTTGAGTTTTAGAGATGCTCTACTTTTGACAAATATTGAGTCCAAATGCGAATTAGGTTTCCATCCTATAGTAACGCACTTCCGTTATCTGACTTTTATCTGATCATTTGTACAAATAATTGCGAAGAATTTTTTCACTTATGCCATATTTTGTTGCAGTTATGGGTTTTGCTTTTGAAACCGCAGGTAAAATTCTTCTCAATAGATTCTAGCATGGTAACCTATATTGGCTACATTTGAAATAAATAATCTGACTCAGATATAGTATAGCAACTCCTTTATTTTGTCAATACCTGCTACCGTAACCTCTATAAAAAGTTTAATACTTTAGTTATGTTTTGGTCTGTCTGTCTGTTTTTGACATAGAACTTTGCACCGATGTGTAGCAGTTCAAGTCGCTACACTCCATGTAGCACACCAAGCAAGAAAAGAAAGTAGAAATACATAATATAGACAGTAAACAGAGGTGTGAGACAAAGGTATAGTAATAACGAAGAACAAAACAGTTTAATTGGAAATCATAAGTCACAAGGAGTGGATGCATCTGCGCTAGCCATTGAGAACGATTTTGAGCCATGTCACCAATTGTTTCCAACCATTGGTTTTTACCGTCCCGTAGACCCCAACCAGTCAGTCTACACCTTCCTACGTGGCTAAGACTAACTGTTGTGGATTTCATTGACTGGTGCCATATTTTCGTTTGACCGCCGCTAGCTCTTTTCAAGTCTGGCCCTATGTCAGCTAACATTGCCCGTCGAGGAAGGCGATGACTAGGCATACGTAACACATGTCCTAACCATCTCAGTCGATGTAATTTCACAGTCTCGTCGATTGACTCCCCCTTCTTACCTAGCACTTGACGCCTAACCTCAATATTGATCACCTTATTATACCGCTTCACACGGGAGATAGAGCGCAGGCACCTATGATCAAAGACAGCTAGCCAGAATTTTCATGTCCTCCACTCTCAATGGCCAGGTGTCACAGCCATAAAGGAGGACGGAATGGGCTGATGAGCAGTACACATGCCCTTTGGTCGTTAGTTGGATATCACGTCTACGCCAGAGACGGCATAAACTGGCATATGCGAAACTAGCCCTCTGTATTCTTGCTGAGATTTCGTCAGAGATCAACCCGTTGGGCTTGGTGATACTTCCCAAATGTTATGGTACGTTGACGGACATAACTATGTATGTCAGGACTGTTGATTGCACAATGGCGAATGTAATTCATCTAAACAAGCACCAAACTGTTATACAGTGGAATCCAGTATTTGAACTCCCCTCCAAATGCTTAATCTTAGGCAAATGAGTAGTATCATAAGCCGCCATGAATTGTGGGTCACAGAGAAGTACAAAAAACACTGGATTGTGTAGTTCTGTTGCATGAGATGTTTATTCCTAAGTATAGAAATCTTAAGTAAATCCTGACTCTAAGTATTTCGCAGCATACATATTGTTATTTTTTCTTAGGTTCCGAGTGGAAACACATCTCAACTCTTCTTTTTTCTGCTGCCCTCTTAGCTAGGCACACAATTTCTCCTCATTGCACGACCTCCTCCATGTTACCCTCAGATGACCCACTCGTCAATTCCCATTCGGGTTCCACCTGAGAATGTGACTGGTGCGTGATGTCATTCGACGGTCTCCTCAGTGTGTGCCCGATCCATCTCCGGTTTCTCCTACATATTTCTTGGGCGATAGGTACTTGGTTGGTTTATTCCCACCAGAGTTTCTTGTTGCTAACTCCTTCTGGCTGACCATTTGATATTCAATAAGGAGCCAGCTAGAAAAGATTTTGATATAAGTCTGTGACCTGTTGGGAATGCTTTTCGTAACGCTCGTGACAAGATTCTGATCAATCTGGAAGCAATAACAGAGTTAACATTTGTGTTGAAAATTCGAATCTTGTTCTTTATACTGAGTACAGAGGTAATGAAGTGTTAGAGCCATTAAAATGTTTCTTTGATAGCTTGTAAACATTTTGTGTAGGATAGTAGTATACCGTTGGTCAAATGAATTATTTTCTAATATCAGAATTGACTTGTTATTTGGTGAAACTGCCACTCAGTGTAGTGAGTTAAAATAAATAGATATCTTTATCACTTAATATATGTTATTGTATATAGACTCATTCGGTGGAATTCGTAGGAGGGAAATAATATCTAATGATAACACTGAGTACGTTTAAAAACTATAAGTAGCAAATGTTATCCTGTGGTTTAATTTCTATTTGTAGATAAAATTTAATTTGATAAAGTTTCACAGTGTTATATAGTAATATTTACTGTATTACTGTTTAACACTGTGAGACTTTATCAAAATAAATTTTACTCACAGTGGAATTATATTCTACTACAGTACACAAGTTCTATCCTTATATTAATTTATATTTGTGTGGAAACAATTAAGGAACACTCCTCTGTTACAGATAATTTGATTATTTGTAAATGATATTCGTTTTTGTGTAATTTGGTCATATTTTTATGTTTATACATTGAGGGTATTACGTTAGTCTGTTTTACTTAAGATTTCTTGTGTCCTGTTGACAAAGTTATCCGTATGTCTTACTTAACATGGCTAAATAATTTTACTCTTCTGTGGTATTTCAGACTTCAGAGATATTTATTCAGTTAGGTATAAATTGAGAACTCCATTATGAATAAGATTTTATTTTGATAAGTCACGCAGTGTTACACAGTAATATTAACTGATGCGACCACGTTTCGATCACAAACTATTGCTCATAATCATATCAAGTTACTCACACAACTTTTTTCCTTCATTTATATTAATGTGTGGAATTGACTAGATATTTGAATAAGAATCAATATAGGATAATGTACATTCAGAAATAATAATACCAGTGTTATTGTTAAAATACAATCAGATGGGAAATAAGACGAGGGTTTTTATAGTCAAAATAAGTAACTTGTTAGAATGTTATGATGTGCGTGAATTGTCTTATTTCCCATCTGATTGTAATTGAACAACAACACTCATATTATTATTCCTGAATGTACATTATCCTATATTGATTCTTATTCAAATATCTAGTCAATTTTACACATGCATTTAAATGAAGGAAACAGTTGTGTGAGTAACTTGATATGATTATGAGCAATACTTTGTGATCGAAACGCGGTCATCAGTTAATATTACTGTGTAACACTGTGTGACTTATCAAAATAAAATCTTATCCGTAATGGAGTAATACTCTGGTATTAGATGGTTGGAGGCAATCGGCAGGAAGCCTTGGACCTAGGTTTTGTGCTAGTTGGCACTCATCAGCAAGGTGTATCTGCAACCTTGAAGGAACCGATGTCCCTTCTGAGATTCGAACCCGCGTCACCCAGTGCTGCAGTCAGAGACGTTACCACTGAGCTATTCAGGCTCGCGACTGACCTCCTGTAAGACTGTATTGGATATTTTTGATTGCACACTAGTCAGTAACTAGTGT